TGCAGGCAGAACTTCACATTTGCACAAAGAATTTAGACTCATCTTTCCAGTGCTGAGAGATTCCTTAGGGCTGTGAAGGCTGCGCTGGCCCCCCAGCTCTGGGGGCTCGCGAAGAGGGGATGCCAGATCACAAGAGCCCACTCTCTGTCTTCCTGTGGCCTGGCTGGCTCCTTGCCCCACAGAGTGAATGGTCCACAGCTGCTCAGCAATGATGCAACTGTGGCCTGTGCTTGCCCGCAGCTGCAGTGAAAGCCTAGCAAAAGCCCTTTGCCCAACAGCTACATTCAGATGCTTTGTCAGCTTCTCTGGGAATGCGGTGGCAGCGTGCAGGGGCACTTGGTCACGGTAAAGGAATACACAAGAAGATTGCTCACAGTGCTATGCCATTCTGCTCTAATTGGAAGTAAGTGCTACTGAGTTCAGTGGGAGTCACTCGCCGGGAAATGGGAATAGGACTGCAGTGTTAAGGAGGGTTATTCCAGAGGGGCAGCCAGGTTAGGGTGTTGCAGGAGGGGAAAACAGGGACTGGTGGCCCCCTAAGGACTAACTGAGTTCTAACACCTACGTGTTTCTGGGCCGAAGAATTTCAGCAGTCGCGCTTGAATTGCCTAAAAAAGCAGAAGTAAACCACTTCCCAAAAAAGAGGACAGGAGGAGGACATCAATTTGCCTACAATTAGCTTCATGTGCAATGATGCAGGTTTGGATCTTATTATCATAATTTATATGGAAATAAAGACACAGGACAGAGGGCAAATTGACAATGAGACCACCAAAACAATAAAGGAATTCAACTTCCTGGGATCTGAAATTGACCAACGTGGTGACCGCAGTCCTGAGATCAGAAGGCGCAGAGCATTGGAAGAAATGCAATGTGCAGAATGGGTAACATTTGGAAGAGAAAAGACATCACCACATGCAGATTAGTCAATGAAATAATTTTTCCAAGTGCCACATATGGTTGTGAAACTTGGACTCTGAAAAAGCAGATAGAAGAAGGGTGGATGTTTTCGAATTGTGGTGCTGGAGATGACTATTGAGCATCCCACGGTCTGCAAAAATCACAAAGATGTCCTAGGCAGAGCCTCACCAAAATTATCACTCGAAACCAAGATCACCAAACAAAGACTGTCATACTTTGGCCATGCCATGAGAGCTGACTCACTCGAAAAGTCAGTCATGCTGGGGGTGATCAGTGGAAAAAGGAGAAGGGGCCGCCCCAGCACCCATTGGCTGGACGCCGTAAAGAAAACACGGGGTGGACATGGAGGCCTTGAAGGGAGCGGTGAGAGACAGAGGCACGGAGAGCAATGAGCCCAAAGAGTGGCCAAGGGTTGGACATGACTGAATGGTTGACCACAACAATGGAAGTACATCTTGCCAAACTGCCGAAGACTGGCTGGAAGACCTGTCTCCTGCTTGCTCAGACAGCTATTTGGGTGGTCCCTCTTGGTTGCTGATACCACTTCACCTTTCAGCTGGAATTAGACATGGCATTTCAAACAGAGACAGCTGTGGCAGTCCTTCAAAGAGAGGACTGCCTTCTGTACAAAAGGACACATGGCCGCCAGGTGAGTAAGCACAGATACAGCAAGAAGAGCTTCAGAATGTGTTAGTCCGTGAGGTGCCCCTACTCTCTTTGCACGGAGAGGTGACCCTTGTCACATTATGTGAATGTCTTTTTCCAGATGAGCCACCTCTGGGTTCTGAGATCATGGTGGGGAGGGGGGGGGTGGAATCAGGTGGCTTTTCTGGGAGGCTCCATCTTCTAGAGCTAGGCAAGTGCCAACGAGGAACAGGTGCTCTTGGGAGGGCTGTCCATCAGGGTAAACTCCAGGTTTCGGGAAACCTCAGGGAAAGTGCCCTCCATGGCTCCATCTATCCAAGGTACCTCTGCCCACTGCTTATTTTCTTCCTCTGGGCCCAGTCAGCACAATCAACCGGAAGGAAATGGGCTGGCCAATGACTGGCAGGTGTGCAAACCTCAGTGGGTACCCCATGATGCTGGCTTCCAGTCCGGACCATGCCCACTTCTTGCCTGATGCTTTCCCCAAGTAGTCCGTTAAGACTCCCCAGGTAGCCAATTTTACCTGCTTAAACAGGCTTTTGATCTGTTGACTGCCTTGGTGCCGTCCTGGCCACTGTGACATTGCTTTAAAATGGCTGTGAGCAAGTCATTTTCTTTCTTGTCCTTTTAATTTTGTTGGAAGCAGGTATGAAAAACTTGGCCAGCCACGAATATTTCAATGCAGAAATACAAGTCACCACCATAATGACGAGCTTGGCCTGTAATGCCATCTTGGGTTTAGAGTTACTACACCTGATGAAGAGACCTGTGTAACCTGAAAGTTTCTAGCATTTTTCAGCACTAGCAGTTCCAGGAGAGGAATTGCTTAATTTATTATCTTTTTCTTTAAAGTCAAATAATTAGTAAAGGTGCAACGTGAAGTTATGCTACCAATGCATGGTCTCAGTGTCAGGTTTTTTGATAATAGGTCTGTGTTGTGTCTGCGGGAATTTGCATTTGGGGCGAACGGAGGACCCTTTGCACTGATTCTCCATGTGGATTCACCTCCCGCAGTGATAATTTCTGCACCAGCATTGCTGCCTTTGAGCTGATCTTTGTCTCAAGTGCAAGCTGATCAGTCTTACTCCTACTGTCCTCTGCTCAACCAGCTAGACTCGGACCAAGACTGTCCAAGTCCCAAGCCTAAGCACAACAACATCCCGGCTCTTTTTACCCTTTTGCCTATTGAGCTTTATTCTGCTTAAAAGTCATTTCTTGGGATGTTATATTGTGTTTTCATTGTATTGGTGTTTTTATTGCATTTCTTTTTATATTTTTGAGGCAGGGTTGTGAACAATGCGTGAATCTTCAGCTATTGGGAGGCAGAGCAATGAAATTCATGACCATGATAGTGATGTTGTATATAATTTAGGATATGTGGTTTTGGCCTGTGCTCACTAAAAGCGCCCGCAGCAACGCAGCGGACCCAGCAGGCCTTTCGCCCCAGGCGGCGATGCGCGGTTGCCAGAGGCGACGGCGCTCTCGGCCGCAGGGGCGCGGGCGCTTCGCGGTCCGGGGTTGTTTGAGCCCTACCGCGGCCCGTAGAACGCCCTCTGCGTGACCCGGAAGGAGAGCGGGGCAGGAAGTGGGGATTTTGAAGCTGCAATTGAGGCGGATTTGGGCAGGTGAGCGGGAGGGGAGAGTTCGCCTCCGGAGCTGCCCCTCATGGGGTGGGTGTCGGGGTGGGGGGGCGTCGGCGCCTCCCGTCAGCCGGGGCGTCCCGAGCTGCTCTTTGCCCGTGCCGCCCTGCCTGGGCTGCCAGGAGACTCTGAGTGGACAGGGACCCCCATGGGCTCACTCTCCTCTTGTCCTGGGCGTGACTCTCGCCCCCCCATCCCCCCCCCACGGCTCCCCTGTACCTCCAGCCACGGCATGCTGGTTCTTTGGCTCAGCGTCGTTCCGCGAAGCAAAACAAGCCCCCCGTTTCGTACGCTCCAGCTGGCCCTAAACATTTTGGTTGAAAAGCTGTTGAAAAAAAAAAGAGAGAAAAATGGCTCGCAAGATTATTAGTTAAATGCTGCAACCGGTGGGTGGGATGGGGAGGAGAGAAACATAAAGTATAAAGCAATAGTTAAGGGCAGCGTTTAAGCCATCTAGCAAGGCACTCTTAAACGGGGAGTCCTCAAGGTTGCTCTTTGTTTACTTTTCCTTGCGTTATGGAAAACACTGGCCTCGATTTTGGCTACTGTGGTGATGCCTTAAAAAAAAAAAAAAAAAAAGGTATTCCATGTCTTTTGACAACGCCAAAGTTGAGCTTCCAGCTGGTATGATGTAATGGTGAAAATGATGTAATGGGATCTGGGAAATCCAGGTTCTAGTCCCTACTCAGTCATGAAGCTCACTAGGTGACTTTGGGCCAGGCACTGATTTGCAGTCTAACCTGTCTTGTAGGATTCTTGTGAGGATCAAAAGGAGAAGAGGAGGATTATACAAGCCACCTTGGTTCTTTGCAGGGAAAAAAAGTGGAATGTTAAAAAAATGCATACACAGTTGCAGTGAAGTCTCCGTTCTCTATAAGTGTTTATCAAATAGCAGTATTAGTTGTTTGAGTTATTTTATAAGAACTACAACTATTGAGAGGTTAAATCTGTTAATCATATTTCAAAAAGAGACATTTTATGTCAAGGCCAGGATTCATGGCTGTTTCTGAAGAGGCTACTGCAGGATGAGCTGTTCCTGGATTAATAAACATATCAGGCAGAGAGAAGTTGTCTACAATTTATGATGGTGCAGCGTCTGTGTATCTCAGTGTGTAGCATTTAGGCAGGATTTCTTAGTGGAAGGTTAGTGATACAAGAAGTGCATAGGAGTAGGTGTAATTTTCACTGTGATAATTTCATGTATCCAGAAAAATTCTAGCATCCCAAGTTTTACACTGTTTGAGGCAGAGTGTCACATATGCCTATGCAGAATTGATGCTAGTTCTTCAGTGGCTTCTTTATAGGCTGTGTCTTTTCCCTTTCCCTTCTCTCCCTGTGCTTATGTGTTATTCTTTGTGGTTGCTTGCTGCCTAGTTCTGTGGTTGTTACACTTCTAACATGGGCTGGGCCCCATCCTATTATTAACACATTGAGCAAGCCAAAGTTCATGTAGCTGAATCAAATGTATATTTTTCTCCTGTTTATTCCTACCTCCCTTTACTAGAACTTCCTCTTGTTTTCCCTGTGTCAAATGTATTTTCCTTCACCTATACATTGGAGCAGATAGTAAAGTCTCTGAGCTAATGAACTTTTTTACACATTTGTTTTCTTCTGTTGCTTTGGTGGTCTCTATATTGTATTGTGTTGAGAGAGTTTTATAGGAAGAAGGAATTAGATGCTGTTGAATGTATGTTTCTTTCTCCACTGTCCTGCATATGGCTTGAAACACTGTGTACCCTTTTTTCTAATCAGAGCAGCTTGTGTGACCCTGTGTTGGTTGACAGATGACTGGGATTTCTCCAAAGAATTGGCAACATAAGAACTAACTAAAGGGTGAAGTCCATCTAATCTACTGGTGTGTTTCCAACAGAGACCAGGCAGATGTGTATAATAAGCAAGATACGAAGGTGAAAGCTGCACCTACTTTTAAAGATAGAATACTTCTGTTCATAGAAGTTTCCTTTGTGGGGAGAACAAAGAAGCTCACAGGATTTAAATACGGAGATACTGTGCAGGTTCTAGTTTAAAGTCTCAGCTTTGTTGTCTGTTTGGAAGAAATTTTATCTCCTTTGGACTTCAATGTGAAACATACTTTGGGGTGTGGTGGTACTACGTTATCTACATGATTTTCCTTTGATGAACACTTTGGTTAATTATCTGGATGTTATTACAAGCCATATGCATTGCTGTTTTTGTGGTGAGCTACCTCGAAGATCCTGTATAGTTAAAGTGAAAAGATATTCCCCCAAGTTAAAGTGGGGTGCATGTATGTTTGGACTGGTAATATGTATGTAGCTTGATATACTTTCTTGAGACCTCTAGTGCTACTTTCTCTGCAAGGTGATTGGACTTTTGTTCTTTTTCTTTGCTTACTGAACTCCGTAACCTTGATTGCCTATGTCAGTGAGTCAGTGGTTTTGTTTGGATCATGCTGTAGACTCTGCCAGACAGGGTGACCCTTGATCCGTTTTACTATATTCTTACTGAAACTGGGATATCCACCCATGAATTGCTGTATGCAAGTAAACAAGTGATTAACAGGAAATTTCTGAAATGTGGGCACTGGGGAAGACCTGACTTGTAACCCTTGTTGAGGTTGTCCTGAATTCCACATATCCCTTAAATAAGTTAAGCACACAAAGCTACATGTGGGGAATAGCTCTGATCTTAACAGCAAAGTAATTGCAAGGGGTAGGGGGAGCTGAACCCTTCCTTAATTTAGCTTTCTGTGTTCTATCACCCAGACTCCTTTCCTTACCTCTCTTACTATCAGTGCTGAGTTCAGGGTGCAAAAAGTATTCATGTGACTGCTCTGTTGTGATTGGGGATTGATCAGCTTTCCTTATCTGCATGTCCCCTTTAATGTTAAAATTCATCACATACACATTTTATGCATGATCTGGTCCTTCCCAGGGGCTGAAGGAGTTGTCCTCAGCTGCCAGAATTTGCCACTTACGAGGGAATCTCCACCCTTCCTGTTGAAATCCTTGAAGTGATTATGGGAAAACATAAGGTTATTTTTGGAGAGCCTAGGGTGGACATGATCAGATTTTGTTTTTGAATCATGACTGCTGCTTTAGTTTGGCCATCCTTTCCTAGAAGCAGAGTGAGTAGAAATGATTTGAGTGTGGTTGAAATGGAATACTCGGCCCAAATGCCTGCCCACCTCTCCCCTTTCCCCCTCATCTGGAATATGCCCATTTATATTATTTGAGATGTAGGCCGGTCACTCCTGAATTACCGCTGCCCATTTAATATTGCGTGTCTTCTGTTGTAATAAAACTACAGAGCATACCACCTAGTTTCTCCCCAAGCCCCATCCCAAATAAAGATTAGGGGGAGTGCTTTCAGTTCTGTGGAAGAAACATGTCCAGCAGTTATGAGTCCTGAGTCCAATCCCAGCCATTCTTTGCAGGGCTCTCTGCTAAAGTGGGGCTCCTGTGTATTTCCATTTAAATGGGCTTTTCCCAGTGTGTGTAACTATTCTGTGGGCATTGAGCTAAGTTGCCTCCAACATCCCCATGACTGCGGGGGAACTGTCTGACTTGTAATCTTAAAAATGAGCAGAGCTGCCGTGCAGGAAGCAGAAAGTCAATTTAGCTTCAGGGCTGCAGAATCTCCCATGGAGCTCAAGGGATCCTGAGAGGCATGTTAAATATCAGGCTCAGGAGGCCGAAGAGGAGAGCCTCATGCAGGGCCTAGAGGCAGTAACGGCTGCCTCTCCTAGTGGGGAAGGATGTGGACCAGTGAGAACGGCTGTTGGAAACATGCAGCCTAACCTTGAGTGCTCTGTATCCTTAGCATGTCAGTTCTCTGGCATTTTTGTTAGTACTTAGGACTGTTGCATTGCTGTTTGGGTGTAAGGAAATTAAATTACTCTTCTGCTCCATGTCCAGCTTATATTTGCACTCCTTTGATGGCAGGTAATATTCCTGGGATATGGAACCCCAAGGCTATGTGCGAGTCCCCCCCAGCCATGCTTCCAAAGACGGCTCAAGCAAGCCCACTGTCCCGCAGAAGAACGCCTACGCCAGGCTTGTGCAGAAGCACCACAGTGGGCGGTTCCGGTCCTACTTGAACCACATCGCTCAGAAGCTGCAGCTGGAGGAGGCGAGTGCCCTCAATGACTCGGATACAGAGCCATCCTTGAAAAGAGGCCTTGTGCGAGAGGCTCTGTCTAAAAACGGGGTGAAAACCCCCAGTGGCTCCCTCGTCAAAACCCTGCATCCAGTCCAGCTGGAGTTTGGAAGAGCTGAGCAGCTGAGTGACAGTAGAGAGGCGGCTTCTGCCAAGCGGCAGCATCACCAAAGCGATCCCAGTGCTGGCAGAAGTGGTGATGATGAAGTAGTGGACGAAGAGGATGGTGTCTCTGCTCATCAGCTTGAAGATCTGTCTGCTGCCTCAAGGGGCAGACAGGTACTGGGGCAAGGGGTATTGTCCAGGCAAAGTGGATTTCAGCAGAAAACCACCAGCTCTGGAGAGCGAGACAGAGAGGAGCCGTGGAGAAGCAAATACAGCAGGGATGCGCCCGCCACCTTCGACAGATCCGATGGCTATGCACCCACTGGCCACTTCAGCATGGATGTGCCCACCACAAATGCCAGGAAAACCAGCCCCTTTTCACCAAGCCAAGTTCATGGTGAGCTGCTGAGTGTCTTAAATGGTTGCAGTGGCTTGTGGAACTAGGAGCAAATGGCCTGTGGATGAGATTGTCACATGACGAATGGCCATTTCCACTGGTTTTGCTGGGGCTGGGATTTTTCGCTTGTAGTTGTTGTATTATCAGAAGGATTGCTGCAGGTTCAAGAGAGAAGTGGGCTTGGTCCCAGGCTGGGAAATGCATATATTGCTAATATTTAGAAGCTGCTTTGAGCCAAGTTCTTAGCTGGCTGAAATTCTTCAGTGTTGGTAGCTCTACTTATTGGCAAGATCCTGGATTTCTTTTCTAGGCCTTTGCTTGGACTTGTCACTGAGACAGTGAACTTCCTTGTGCTCGTTCTTCGTTGTGCTCGTTCTTTTTAAACAAGGACACAGGCTTAGCTTAACTGGCGGGCTCGGATTATGAACGAGTCCCTTGTCCACCGTAGAAGTGGCCCTTTGTGGCTATCCATAGGGGTGTTCTGCCTGTGTACTCTTTGTGCTGCAGCCCCGATGTAATCTGTTGTTACTGACAGGTTTAAATCTAAAATTCTACTAGTGGATCAGCTGCCTATCCCTATTTTATAGGGGTCCCATTGTGATAACATGTGAGCAACCTAAAATGCTCTAGAGACATCAAGCATTGTCGGTGTTTCCCACCAACTGCTACAAGCACATTCTTTTTCTTTCACTTCCATTCCTGGGTGGGTGGGAAACAGGGCAGTGCTGTTGATGGAGGATCCCCTCCCTTTCTGCTCTGGGTCTTTGGAGCGAGCCTTGGTTGGCTTGGGAGGAAAGCATCCCTTCCAGCAAATGCGGCTGACAGCAGGGATGCTCCACTAGCCGAGTTTCTAGCCACTGAACACCACCGCCGTCTCCTGTGCCATTTAATGCTCTCTGCTCCCGTGCAGCCTGCTCTCTATTTGCTTTTTGACTGCCTGCCCCTCACTGGCTTCTGCTGCAGGCAAGCTAGTAAATCAGCAGTAGCACTTTTCAAGGAAAGCATTTCCATTTACTTCCACGTTTCATCCCTAGCTTTTTGTCCCCTTTGAATGCTTAAAGACACCTGGGAATGTTTAATAATCTCCTTTAAAAGGGTCTTATTGTCCTCAGCAACAGTTACTAAATTAATTGTGCAGAGGGATAGGGAAAAGAAGGTAATGAGTATTCTCCACTGCAAGCCTCTGCACAGTTTCTCTCTTTTCAAGGCATCATCCCCAAACTGGAGGTGTACTAGGGAGCCTGGTATATGGTGACAGGTGATGCGTTCCGGCTCCAGGAGTAGGTCTGATTGGCTAACAGTGACTCCGTGGCCCCATCATTCCACTGGCAGGTAGCTAGTCAAGGCTCGCTTGCTTCAGGCGCATGGGGCTTTGGTTCCCCAGGCGCACTTCGAGGTGCGTGAGGCATCTTGTTTGCTTCCTACTTGTGGCACACTGAGGTGAGGATTATTTTGGGTGGTGGGGAGAGGAGGTGTTTCAGTTCCTCCTTTGATGTGGGGAGGTTTGTGACTGAGGGCCATTGAGTGCTGTGAACGTGCAGCAAGTATTCAGTTTGGCTCAGCAGCTCGTGTCATGGGAGAGTTCTCAGTTGTCCCAACCAGGGGAACCTACCTCTTCCTGGGAAAAGGAGGGCCATGGTGAAAATACCTCTGATGCCAGAAGGGTGTTGAGTGCCGTAAGATCTGGTCTGGCACGCAGTCCCTTGCACATTTAGACATACACACTTCCTGCCACTCCCAGCTCATTTTCCGGGCCAGCCAGGGTTCTTTTCACTCTGAACTTGCGTAGGGTTGCAACCTGTTCATCGATTCTACTTTGCCTCCTTTCTGCTAGAGTAGTGATACTCTCATCTTTCAGAGCATGAATGCACAAGCTGCTAACAAGCACTTGAGATTACAAAAGCAATAAATAACAACCGGCTAGCACGACAACAGCGAAAATGTGCGTGGCAGAACTTACGTAGCAGCAGACGTTAGTCGTGAAGGTGGGGTGGGCATGGGCCAAAACCTGTGGAGGGCCACAATTCCCATAATTCCTGGCCAAGGACAAGGCAAGGGATCATGGCAGGTGTTTAAGGTGCTTCAGGCTCTCCTGTGGTTGCAGCAATCGATTAACAGACGCTTCCCCTCTGGGGGGAACAGAATCAGTGGATTCTTCCCACAAACCTCTATGGGAAGGGCGTTGTATAGTTCTTGTGCCACTGTTGAAAAGTTTTTGGCCTTCATTACCACTCCCTGCACATCCGATGGTGGTGGCACATAGATCAGGGCCTCTAAGGACATCTTTTATACATACATTTTCATGTCCGCCCTCTATTCTTTATTTGTAAAATGTGTCACTTGCTTTTCATCATAAAATCTCACAGCAAAGTACAACCAGTAAATGTAACAAAATCCTATAACTTTGGCCATCCCTCCTCCTCACCCAACCCCAAGATGCAAAGGGTGAACGATACAAAGGTAAACAATCATTTATGTGATTTAGCAAAGTGAAAAAAGGAAAGAGCAAAGCTTGGATTAAGGAGGTTTTGAGTTGGTACTTAAGGTCTTGAAGGTCTTGGCACCGAGTGTTTATAGGAGGTGGGGGGAGTTCCACTTGGGGCATCTTCGTGAATGCTCTGTCTGTGGCTGCCTGGTATTGAACTCAAGACAAATGCGGCAGCTTCAGGAGGGCAGTTTATCTGAATATCCGTCTCGATGCATAAAGGAGACGGTGCTCCCATTGGGTATCCGGGTCCTAAGTGAAGCTGGACTTTCCAGAGCACCTTGGACTTGGCTTGGCAGGTTATTGGAAGCCAGTGCTGCTGCCTCAGGGCTGGGAAGCTGTGTACCTGGTGGGCTGCCCCACTTGGCACCCCATGTTGCGCTGGCTGCAGCTTCCATGCCAGCCTCACAAGCAGCCCATGGGAAGCACACTGCAGTAGCCCATATTACATTTTCGCTTAGTTACTTACTGGCCTTTGATTTTGGGAAGTTCTGGGCACCTTGCCCACGAGAGAGTGATCTTGCTTCATGTCCTCATATGTGTACAGAGGCAGCCAAACTGGAATCTGTCTCCTCTCTGAGCAGATTGGATGCTGTAGCGCGAAAGATCTGTGGGCTTTGGAACCAGATGTTTTGCATTATGCTCCTGGGCAGCACAAAGGCACCATTTAATGGCAAACAGATACATTTTAATAGTTATAGCAACCAATTAGTACACATTTATATCAGCAAATATAAGAATTGGAAAGTTGGAAACCTTGATGCAAATCAGGGATTAAATACACCTCTTTTTCTTGATGCTTTAGATCACCTTATAATGCAGAATCAGTTGACCCAGTTAAATAAGCTGATTGTTGATGGGGATGGACGAGAATTTGTAGAGGCGCTTGGAACATCAGGTGAAAGTCTTGTTTTCTGCAGGTGACCTGCACGCTGCAGTATTCACAGGCTGTAATCTTTGGTTGTCTGATGCGGCTTTGAATCTGTTAGAGTAAAAATGCTTCCTGTTGTGGTTTACGAGGCAGAAATTTAATAGCCAGCAAACACAATTTGGCTTTGCAGAACTGCACCCCTCTGATCCTCTGGGATGAGTCATCCATCAGTCTGTGAGGAGGCTGCCTTCTCCATTGAAGCTGGGCCAACAGATCTTGTGCATTTGGGGTGATAAATACATGTGAGTATTTGAAGTACGGCCTTGGGGATTGTACAAAATGGACTGAACAGATCTACTTTTATTGAACCAATACTTCGTAAATTATGACTCCTGGTGCTTTTAAAGCAATGTTTTGGCCTGAGGGCCCCAAACCTATTCTGTATTCTGTGTGTGTTTGTCCCAGTCTTTGGCAGCTCATATTTCTCTTCTGTCTGATTCTCCCACAACTGGAAACTCTTGAGAAAGCTAGCTAATTTGATTAAATTCTTTTTCTTCTTGGTGGGTGTTACTAGGCCCCTGTTTCGGAGTAGCTCTCTTAGTGTGCCCCATTTCCAGTAGCTGTGCCTCCATGAAGAAAGTATGTGCATACAGCATCATAAGGGAAGCGGCAGCTGAGAGGAAGGAGTATGGGATAGACGACTGCCCTGTCTTGAGAAGTGGGGAGGCATTGAGTGTCAAGGGTACGTGGCGGGTGGGGAGTGGGAAGTTGCTTCTGATTCCTTGAGGACGATCCGGTGAGTCTCTTTGCTAAAGTTCAAGCCAGATGCTTTGGCTTGGAGTTTGAGAGAAGTCAGCTTGGGAAAGGTCAGGGAAGGAACGCTTGCCATCCCTTCCTCCTCCTTGCGCCTTCTTTTCTGATAAGTCTCAAAGGAGGGTTTGGAGGCTGCCAAAGTCTGGAGGGGTCTGCTGGGGAGGGGGAATTTCCCAAAATCCTTTGAATTTCTCAGGGAGGTGTCTTTTACCCTACACCACAATTTTATACTAACTTGTGGGTAGCAGTTTTGAATGGTCAGAACATGCAGGGAGTCCCTTTGCTGCAGTGTGGTCGGGCACTTCAGGTTATAGGGTGAGAAGCAAAACTATCTTCATTAAGCAGTCAGCAAGCACAGGGCAAGGGATCAAAGAAAGGGTGCACGGCAACAAGAAAGGGAACCTGCTAGCTGCCTTCTTCAGGCAGACCTGTGCTTGCTCCCATCAGCCTTCTGGGGCGGGCCATCCAAAGGAGTGTTCGTGCCCCACAATAAATAAACTTGGAGCTATCTAGTTGTCATACGGGCATGCATACCTGAGCACATTTCTGCAAATACACTATCACTCAAAAGGGTATCTGGTACGTTAGGAATAACTTTCTTTTCCTGACCAGTACAACTGCTGGCAGGCTTGATTGAGGCCCCTGGGGGCAGATAGAATTCCCTTGGCACGCTGATGGCAGGTTTCTCTGAGCCATTCTGTGCACGACCTCCATGATTTCATAGCAGCATTTCTTTCATTTCTCTCTTTACAGCTATCTCTTGCTTCTTACTACGCTGGCCTCTTGCTGTGTGTTCTTTAAACCATAGCAGTAGATGAGAGAAAATCTAAC